AATCAAATACAGAAAATAAACACTGATAAAAATAAGAAAAAATAAAAAGAGAATTAAAATGAGTGAGTGTGCCAGCACCTTTTCGACACCACCATCTTTGCCGATTTTTAATTATTTTTTGGCATTGACAAATGCCCTGAAAATTTACAGATACGTATTTTACATAATCAATAACTCATTAATTTTTTTTCAAAAAATAATAAAATGTTTTAGGCCCCGAAATAAAGTGAAAACAAGAAGTTAAAAGTGAAAAAAACAAAATAGTGAGTGGGCGAGCACGTTTTGACACCCCCATCTTTGAGGATTTTTAATGTTTTTTTGGCTTATCAGAATGGCTTCAAAATTTATCGGCGTGTAGGATACATCATAGAGAACTCATAAAAAAAAATGCAGAAAAAAAAAAACTTATCTGTAGGCCCGAAATGTTTTTTGGCGGGAGCCGAACCTGGAGGTGTTCGGCCCCCTAACGGGACCCCGAACGCCCGAACGTTCGGGGGCCAGCCCGGGGGCCCCCGATTGTTCGGTCAGGTAACCCTGCTCCCACGTACGGGAGTATGTATTCAACAGTACGTACTCGCATACTGGAGAGCGTGTTCTCCCCTCATGTTCGCGGGTTCTCCGTGCTACAGCCTTCCACATGCAATCTGTTCGTATGTACCACAGGAGAACCGATTGCAATGGATGTCTCGGACAATGAACAATCAATTTGCATCATTGCCAATTCGCGCGAGTGGATAGGAACTCTTCTGCCTAGTGAATCCATCCTGTATATTATTATAATATTATGATATTATTATCAGATAATTATCTGCCTTTTCCCCCCCTCTTTTCTTTGGTGTCTCCATTCTACATGTGTGCAAGGAACCACTCCAATGAGAACAATTTTCCAGAATACAAAATATCATATAAGACGAAGCATGATTGAGCCGAGTTGAAAGGAGACTACCAAAGCGGAAATGCACACCAATTAGGACCACACAGTACACAAGTCTCTTCATAAAGAAAAAGGCCCACTTCTCGCCTGCAATCACCAAGGCAACAAAAATGTGGTAGCCCTACTGCGGTATGACGTCTCCACTCTAATTCCGACTACCCTTGGACACCTTCGTCTCTACCACCTCACTCTCTGCCCAGGTGTCACTTGCCCAGTGCTGCTTGAAAACTCTGCTCGCACAGGCTTCCTCCGCCAGCACCAGGTAAGAACCGTCACTCCCCACCGCCTTCCTGCTTCCTGACCTCCCACATTCCACCACTCTGCTTCCTGCACCCAGCTATAGCTGGCGCTCACAGCCACCACAGCTGCTCGCCAACTTGGGCACTGCACTCTTGGATACTGCACAATAGTGCTGCCGCCGTGCAGCAATCTGCTCAATCTGTTCTCCCTTGTGACCTCCTTCCTTTTGTCCTGTAGTGGACAGTGCGTCCAGCCCCAGTAGGCAGTGCCTGAGCCTACTGGGACCGAGTCCAGATCCCAGCCTCCGTAACTAACTTGCAGACTGGGTCTACCAGTTAGTTACAGGGGCTGGCACCTGTGATCAGACCGATGCAACCCCTTGCCGGCCTTCACTTAAAGGCGGCAACAATTTCTCAGGCACACCTTCACTTCGGGCAGCCCTGTCCTCATTTCCAGTGGTTGATAAAGGCCTTGGAAGCCTGAAGCCTCGCATGTGGGAGTTGCACATGACGGAAACCTGGTCCAACGTCCCTTAAAGCACCAGTACACCACACATCGGCCCGCGGGTGTCAGCACGAAACCCGCACCACTTCGGAGGCCGCCAATTTTTTTTTTCAATGGCGCCCCATGCCGCGCGGCCCCTCTGAGTTTTGCTTGTGGCGACAAAAACTTTCTGCAAGGCTGGGGCCGTGTACTTGCGGTTTAAGAGTAATACATTAGTTGATGCATAATGAATGATATCAAACCATGGGGTCCAATGATATGACATCATGCCAGGTTGTCGTAATGCGCTTACCACACAGGTGCTCCTTAAGGACTAATGACTTGCTCACCTTCCCACGCCATAGCTAGGCATCCAATCTCACTCACCCCCAGCGGCAGATCACCTGCAAAACATGAGCACCAAGTGGAGATGCCTTTTCCCATGACCCTCCTTGATGGTTGAGTGCTAATGGTGAGAAATAAGGCTGGGGTGGCATATATTCATGAGCATGTATACGTCCTGGGTTCATTGAACGTCGCTTTCGGTAATAGACTAATAGTTGCCATTCTAACAGATCATTATTCCCTGTCCAGTTCAGAAACAATGGTGGCAGAAACAAAGTCAAAGTCTAAGGGTTCAGCAATAACACACACAGTATCCTTGACGTCCTTGCTCGACAGAGGAGCAAAAAAGAAGAGAGAAGGGAGGCAGCAGTAGGACGAGTAATAGTAGAAGGATAAGGAGAAGAAGAAGAAGTACGAGCGAAGAAGAAGCAGGAGGACAAGGACGATGATCAGGAGGGCAAGGAGGGCGAAGAGGAGGCAAGGAGGAGGAGGAGGAGGAGGAGGAGAAGGAGACCGACAAGGCGGCGGAGAAGCAGAAGCAGACGTAGAAACAGAAGCGGAAGCAGAAGACGAACACAAACACGAAGATGAACACGAAGAAGAAGAAGAAGAAGAAGAAGAAGAAGAAGAAGAAGAAGAAGAAGAAGAAGAAGAAGAAGAAGAAGAAGAAGAAAAGAACTACGGTGATCAGAATATGAACGTGGATGAGGCTGACAACAAGTATGAAGGCAAGGATATGGACAATAGGAAAGACAGAAATGAAAACATGGAAGTTGTTTGATCACCTTTATTAACATATTGTAGCTCATTGTGTTTGGTTGATGGCGATCCAGGACGCCTCGCGCACGGAGGATGTCACCAGCTTCTGCACATGCATTCATGAGTGTGCGCAAGTGCATGTCCGTCACTTGTGGCTGTCCAGGAGCATTGCCTGCTTCCATAAGTTCCAGGAGCTCAAATGCATCATCCAGTCGGCCAGCTTCCCCAAGGCCCTAGAATAGAAATTCGGTGTTATTAGAAAGTAATGAACATAACAAGTAGGAACGCCATGCATCAAAATGATCAACCATGAGATCGTTGATTTCACTTCTTCAATACTATCTCCTCTAACCGCATAGCTGTTATTGTCCTACTCCATCCATAATGCAAAACTCAAATATGAGAAACGCAAGACTTGCTAAATTCAAAGGAAGAAGTGGAAATAGATAAAGAGGGTTCAATAGAGTGAAGAAGAAGAAGAATAACACAAGTTGAAATCAATGTCTTCCCTCTCTCTCTTTCTGGACTGTATCGTCTTCTCCCTTCCTCCTTTTCAAACAATCAATTCATTACAACAACAAGTAAACGAATGAACAGGAATCATGTCTGAGTATTCCCCATTATTGCCAACACTCAATGAGCCCTCCTTTTAGCCTCAACCTCTCTCCTCTCCTCTTGCTTGCATCTCTAGCTATGATGGTTCATCCATGTCCATCGCCGACACTGCCATCTCATTCCGCCATGGCCCCCTAAAAGGTTCTGTGATATAATGGCCATCAGTGCATGGGTAGATAAGGCCTCTAGAGAGTGGGAGAGGTAGGAGGTCTACGAGTAAGATAAGGACAAGCCGCCACATCATGGAGAACATAGGTCAGGCGGTCGGTGCACTGTATGTGTCTCAAAAGAGTCTAGATGCACTTCGGGAAGAAACGGACAAAAACGGCCAGCTACGAGAAGGGAAAACTCATGGTTTGGGTACATGTAGGGCTAAGAAAAGCTCCATGTTCATCCTAGGATGTATCGGACACAAAAGGTTGGCGTTTGACGTAGTCTGAGTACATTGTCCCTGAAATAGTGTTCTAGAGTAGTCCAAAGCAAAACGGCTAGGTCTAGGGAAGAGAAACACATTTTTTGGGTACACCCGAAGCCATAAACTTGTCTTGATGCATCCCAGAATGGATCGAGTATTAAAGAAAGTAACAAGGGAGAGTACCTGAAATAGTGGGTTCTAGCATAGTCTGGAGTAAAACGGCTAGGATTAGAGGGAAGAAACACATGTTTCAGATAGATATGGAGCCAAGAATTGGTCCAGATGCATCCTAAAACGAAGCAGGTACAAAAGGAAGAGTGTGGGAGGTGTCCAGATACAATATACTTGGAAATTGGAGGACTAGAGTGGTCTGAGTCGTAACGGCTAGAAAGGAGGAGGGAAAACATGTGGAGCAGGTGCATTTGAGGCAAAATAGTAGCATGATGCATCCTAGATACAAACAGCCCTGCCAGCTAGAGGGGCCGCAACAGAGGAGCACCATGTCTAAGGCCAACACTCTCCCACACACCACACAAAACCCACTCACACTCACATACACACCCGTGTTGGCCAAGGACCCTACTAATACCAATCAGAGGTATCAAGCGGACTATCACCTCTGGGTGGCACTAAGTGCGCCACAGGTGGTTGTGGGCCTCGAACCCACAACCTCCTGAATGCCACTTGCATGCCTAACCAACTGAGCTAATCATTTGGCTGAGGATCATCTTGAAGTTCGTAGCCAATCCAATCCTTTTTTTCAAGGTTTTTCAATTCGGACGGCCAGGAGCAGTCCAGAGAGAGGTCTGGCTGGACGTCGATCGGTCCGGTGTCCGGGTTCGGCGTAACCATTGTATGAACATGTTTACTCAATGGCAAGAATACAGCTGCAGTGCAAAAATAAAAGATCACAGGATCTACCTTCAGAAGCGTCCCATAGGTGACTGTATCAGCACCACAGCCATTGGGACCTATCATCTCCTCATAGAGACCAATTGCACTGTCCACATCGCCACACTGAATGCAGGCCTCCAGTGCAGCATTCATCACAATCGTGTTTAGTTCTTTCCCATTCTGTTTGGCCTCCTCCAACGTAGAGAAAACCTGCATGCAGACACAGCACCAAAAGCACACTAAGTCCAAATGTTCGACCTTTGCAATGAGTTGACGCCTCTGTAAAGCAATCCGTAAGTCACTGGTTACCACATCAAGCAGAATAAGACAGCACGGGCCACATTACAAGACATATAAAAGTGGGGCACAGTGTTGGGGGACAGAGGGGGGCCAAGGTAAATAAAAAATACCTAGAACTAAAGGAAACGAGTTCTGTCCTCCAGGACATCCGTTAAAATTGGAACGATATAGAGAAGATTAGCATGGCCCCTGCACAAAGATGACACGCATAAGCAGTTTATCTGATGCCGTGTCGATACTGTTACGTCTAATCCTACAAGGGCCGATGCCAGAACGACACTGGCAGGTGCTGGGGTTTGGTTATGCTGCCCTGTAACCTGAGTTAGGCGGGGGCATGAGGTGGTAGAGAGACCTGGGGAAGTCCTGAGGGTGGAAGGCATTCCAGTGGCCATTTGTGGGCTACCATCAGGATGACGATGGTCGGAGCTGGGGCGCGTAACGCTGCTCTGTAACCTAGCAGGGTTGGGATGTGAGACCTCCCATCTTCACCCAAAAAATAACGCCCGGGCGTTATATTCGTTTATAACGCCCAGGCGTTATATTCGTTTATATTACTTTATAACGCCCAGGTGTTACATTCAGTAAATTGGTGGCAACTTTGGTTGGGTCCCAAAATTCCGGGAAAAAAAAATTCAAAACATTCTCTAAAAAAAATATGTTGTCCAGAATTGCAATGCGACCGACGTTTCGCTGAGGGTCACTTCTGAATGCCTTATAAACTCGGAAAATAAAAACAAAAAATCAAACCGAAACATACCCCTTGGAAGTCAAAACCCTTTTCAACCCCCTTTAAAACCCATGTATACCCCCCTTCCCGTCCTTCAAAACCCATGTATACTACCTCTACAAGGCACTCTGACCATGGAACATTCCAATATAATGTCCGGGCGTTCTATTCGAATATATAAACCCCAGGCGTTATATTCAAAGGGGTGTTCTATTTGAAAAACGTGAGTAGAAACGAAAATCTGATCTTTTTAGGGTAAGTTGCAGTGTTGCATACGCAAACGGTCTGCACTCCTTGACTGGTCGGCTGGTCAGCACCTACCGGTCGGGGGTTGTCAGCACCCTGCAAAAAAAAAAAACATCCTCATTTTTTTTTTCTGGGAGCTCATAACCCCCAAATAACCCCACCAACACCCCCATGCCCGCCCCCAATACCCCCATACACCTCCCCAACACCCCCAAACCACCCCCCAACACCCTAAAATATCCTCCCCCCAATACTCCCCCACCAATACCCCGTATACCACCCCTACACCCTAACTGCTGATCTTCAATCTGTTGCTGAATGGTAACCCGTGCTGCAATTGATGAGGCTATCGCTGTTGTTGTTGACAAGCAGCTGCAGACAAGCCCCTATTGCGGGTGGCTGCTATTACTGTGTCTTCCATTGCTATCATTGCTAAGCTTCTGCTATGTAGTTGATGTGCTTTCCCTCTGCTGTATAACAGCGAGTCTTGGTACCAGCACTGTTGCTGTGCATTCCGCGGCTATTACTGGGCATTTTGCTCATTATGGTTGCGCTGCTGTTATGGCCCCGATGCGCTTGTTGTGCCAAACTGTTGTTGTTGAGCTTTCTGCTGCGCAGCCGCTAAGGTCGCAGGCTGCTTTGCTGATGAGAAAAGGGGGATTGCTACTACGCATGAGAAAACAGGGCCGTGTTCTCTTAGTTTCTTACACCTGCATTTTCTCTTAGAGGCCGTTGTAGTCCATACACTTGATGAGTGTTTCATTGAATGGCGGCAATCTTCTTCATCAGGCTGCAGCAGAGCTCCTAGTTTGAGTCTGCGTTCGAATAGAGCACATCCTGTTCTCTATAGGAACACCAGCAATTTGGAGCCCTATTGCTACATTTCCACTTAGCAGTCGTTGCGGTTCAAGTGTTTGGGCTGGTACATCAGTGATTCGCCACCATCGTGGGGGCCCTCAGGCGCATCAAGACAACAAGGCCCTCTCATGCAAGTCTGAGAGCACCCTCCTTGTATGTGAGAGACTCAATAACGTCTTCTTATGTCCTTCTTACTCTAAGTCTAGTTAATCGGTTTGGAGAGGAAGGCGGCAGACAGGATTGCAACCCGTAATCTGTGCAAAGGCCTTTGTGGGAGGTTTGCCCCACCGATTGCGGGAGCTTGTTGAAACTTAGGCGAGGTTATGGAGGCAGGGAACTTAGTGGGAAGCCTCTTTCTCTCTGTGTGAACCCCTATTTCTAAAGTCTGATTGAATTTTATGTTTGAATCCCTACTTGCTTATTTCTTCCATTCAGAACTTAGTAAAGGAGATTGTGTGTGAAATTTAAACTTATCTGTTTGAAGTCATAGGTGAAGGTGGCCCTGCAGAATTGCAAGGCATGTTTTTGCCATGTTTCATAAGTGGGGCATCAGACAGTTGCAGCATGCCAGTTGGCTACAAAGCAATGTGAGCCTTTCACTCGCTTCTTCCAGAAGCAGCTGCTACGTGGGACAGTTGAGCCCAGGGCTCAGGCGGTTGCACCCTGGGCACACGGAGTGAGAGGCCGACACATCACTCAACGATTGTGGACAAAAGAGAATGCAGCATTGTCGCCACACATCTACCATGAGCCAATGAGATTGCGGCAAACACTTAGAGCCTTGTGGGCTACCTGGACGTGCCTAATTGCACAAGGGCCAGACCAGTATTTGAAATTGGGCCTGGGGGCAGATACTTTGGGCGAACCTGAAGTTACTGGGCCCCTACACGCCAGGTCCAATGCAGGCAGAAGTGAGGCTCACTTTCATAAAGGAAAGTGAGCGCCCTGGGGCATGGCATTTTGGGTTGTTGAGGCATTGCGGCCACGTTGCTGCTGTGTCGCGTGAGTGCTATTCAGTGTTGGCGGGATGGGGCACATGCAGGCGCTTAGAGGTGAGAGGGAGCAGCACTAGCGGCTGGCGCGCGGCGGCCATAGTCGGGCTGCTTGGGCACGTGCAGGTGATGGCGATGGTGGTCTTCGAGTAGGAGGCGTGTGCAGTGGGGAGACAAGGTGTGATGAGGGGAGGATACAGATTCGTACCTGGTGTATGCAGGCGGTCGGCATTGGTGACGGCGTCACATACATTGGTCTTTAACTTCGATGTGATCTTGTTGCAAGAACGTAAATAGGCTAGATAGGTTGAGTAGTGTAGGTAGGGCGCTGGGCGCCAATCGGTAGGAGTGGGTACTATGATGGTGTGTCCAAAGACGGTCAGCATTGACCTTTGAGTTCATTGTATTGCTCTTATTTGGATGGTATCCTAGTGCATTGTGATTTCTGCTTGCCAGTGCTTGGTACATGACTATCTGGACTACTTCGTGATTTTGCAATTTGGATTTCTGTCTATCGCTCTCGCTCATATTCCTTGCACATATCACTAAAAAAAGAGTATTAATTAAGAATATAATCGAAGGTAACTTGGCAAGACTAAGCATTGTTTCTAAGACGAATGGCTCAGTCTTACATCCACTTTGAAGACAAAGTGCAAAAAGGTATTTAAAACTTGTCTATTAAACAGTTCAGGGATGACTAGACATTATTTCTAAGATGAATTGTCTAGTCACATGCCCAAAGAAAAGGGAAGCAATTATGCAACCTGTTCGTGTATAACTAAGGCAAAGTTTGACATTATTTCTAAGATGAATGTCCTAACTCTAAGATTGGGGTAAATGGTTAATCATCTGAGAGATCGACGAATGTTATGTGAAAACAACTTTGAAATTTTGTGAGAGTACTTACCTTGATTGTATGCATCTACTTGTGAGTTGGTTTGAGTTTTATATTTCGATAGGTAGTTGCTTTCGATGCTCGCCATGTGCTGGAGCGATAGGAGTTAGTCAAATTTTAATTGCTTTCGATGCTCGCTATGTGCTGAAGCGATAGGAGTAGTCAAAATTTTATCCTTACAGAGTCAAAATTGTTTTGACTTCATATTTGACTTAATAAAATCTTAGGAGCTTACTTTTCTAGAGGAACTGCTCTCAAAATTTTTACTAATTTAAGGAGTTAAACAAACTTGACTTTGTAAAGTCGAAGTTTTATTTTAAATTTCATATTTAGCCTTATATAAATTATGGGAAGTCACTTTCTCTAGGGGAAGTGCTGGCGAAATTTTTCTTATATTTGAGGAGTTAATTTATTTTTGGTTATGTAAATTTTGGCAATCCACCCTATCTAGGGGAAGTGTTGTCGAAAATTTCACTAATTTATGGTGCTGACCAGAAATGGGCTAAGATTAGATAAAAGGGCGTTAGGAATCTTAGGATAAGTTGTGATATGAGGTTTATCCTCCATATGCTTAAGTGTAGCTTCGGTACTGGCCTGTGTTGTATTGCATGTCCCTTTCTTTCGATTCAATTCAAGGCTTGACTAGTTTCAGCCTGATCCTACAAGGATCAACTACTTCTGTTATCATTTGATAACATGTCGATTTACGACTTAACTTTGACCCACTCTCGCGACTCAACCTAAAGTCTTAGCCCCTCTGGACTGAATTGTTCTATTGGGTATTTACCTGGACTTTATTTAAATGGCTATTTACAAAAGGATTGAGTGTTTTCTTTTGGGGAAGGTTGGACAAAGGTTGGGGCTTGTGTGAACAAGGAGAGGGGTGTGAGTGTAGAGAGCAGCAGAAGTTCAACCCTTTCGATGTTGAATTTGGTGTATGACTGCAAGTATCTTTGTATTTGGATTCGGGACTTGACTTTGTTTGCGGTCCCTTGCATATTGAAAGGAGGTGGCATTGTGATTGTGAGAGTGATCGTCTCATGTCTAATGACCCACTATAGTTATATTTTGTGTACCCGTGCGGTTTATTTGACCATACGGGAGGTTTGAGTGAATCAGGTAGAAGAAGGGAGATCCCCTCAAGTCTGCTTGTTAATTTCATTTTGGTGGAACAATAGAGTCTCACGTAGAA